ACTATTTTGCAACACACTGGCGCATCGTCACTGATTTCATGCAGTTTGCACGAAAATCTCACGCGCGTCTAGTAGTGGCTCTTATCGGCATCAGTGGGATGCTACGTGGATGCCCGAAGGATCGGCGGGCCGGAGGCCCGCCTACTCCAAGGTCTTAAGCACACCTTCCGCGGGTGCGGACATTCGGCCCCGAGGCCTTCAGTCAGAGCCCAAAGTGAGATCCGCCGTCACGAAGACTAGTATATTATTGAGGGGATAGCAATAAAGTGATGATGATACTTAAGAGCATCCGTGATAATTATGATGATAATATTTATATCGGAGTTATATCATCTCAGATGTGTCAACATCTCAATGATTAAGAGAGGTCGGTAATAATACTCGGTCGAGATCGATAAATACTAGGCCTTCGTGACGAAGGGGCGGAGCTCGCTTAGTCCACGTTTATTGATTGGATCAATGGCTTTGACGTAGGTCCCCGGTTCGATCCCCGGGTTGGACATTTTTCCATCACATCGGAAACCTCGGCATATAGAAGAGTTATTTGATCCATCTGGTGGCCTTTTACACTTCGTAGTTAAGCCAGGATAGTCATATAAGAAGATAGTCATAGTATATACATATTCTATGTATATTCATAGTATATAAGATAGTCATTCATAAGAGTGTTCATCAATTGTCCTTATAGTGTTGTTATCTTTCCTACCCCTTTCTACTTCTACTACTGATGACTGATTGTGCTTTTGGTATAGCCGGTAAAGATTGGGTTATTATTGCTGCGGATTCCCATGTCGAACAATCTATCGTTAAGTTTAAGACTACTGAGGATAAGATATATGAGATGGATAATAATAAGTTAGTAGCAGGTAGTAATAATAAAACTAACAACAACAACAACAACCGTTATCATCATCATCATCATGACTTGTTGTTATTAGCTGCTGGACCACAGGCTGATAGTAATCAGTTTTTGGAGTTCATATCTCGTAATGTGGAACTATATGCATTAGTTAATGGTGTACAATTAACTACTCATGCATTGGCTAGTTTTACTAGGTACTAATAATAGTAATAGTATGATGTGGAATAATACTCTAACCTCAGGAATGAACTAGCTGATGCATTAAGGAAAGGTCCTTATCAAGTTAATATGTTAATTGGTGGATATGATGATAAAGATGGAAGTAATAATAATTATTATATATTAGTTGATGATAATCCAATTCCTACTTATAGGTGCATCCCTATATTATATGGATTATCTAGCATCTTGTCAGAAGATAACACGTGGTGCACATGGTTATGCGGCATATTTCGTATTAGGCTTATTGGATAAACTCTACAAGAAGGTAGTCATCACCCTACTACTACTAGATAGGATATTATTGGTTTTAGGATATGACCCAAGAAGATGGTCTTGATGCCATAAAGCAGTGTATTAAGGTAATAGTAGTATTAGTTGATATACTCATAACATCATCATCATCATCATCATATTCATTTAGGAGTGTAAGAAAAGGTTTATCATTGACAAAAGTAATTTCATCATCAAAGCTGTGAACAAGGTAACTATAGAGGTTCTATCATAAATATTATACTTTATTACTATTACTGTTAGGATGGTATTCGTCTTATATCATCTTATTAACGATGATGATGATAATAATAGAGATGAATGATAAATACAACATTAAACCCCCTTTTCTCATTCTTCTTATTGGTAGAAGACTTGTGTTATCAGGTTTTTCATTCTTATTACTCCTTATATTCTTTCTAGAGTTGCTATGGATAGGTAGTACGATATGATGATATTCATTATATTCGGTAATGCGGTTGTTTATGCGACCAACCTCAACCTCTAATATCATAGTGATGATAGTCAGTACATACTTTTAACCACATCTAAACATAGCACGATCATCATCATCATAATCATAATCTTGTTATTATTATGCTTCTTTTTGTTGTATCCGTGTAAGAATTCGAGTATCCACAACCATCGTCATCATCATCATCATCATCATCAATAGGATCATGATTTACAACATCCCCAACTATCATACACGGTAATGCATAATAATAATAATAATTATCATTGTGTCCAAGAATATCACAGACATAAGCTTCTCCTCCTGCTGCTGTTGTCGCTGCTGCTGTTGTTGTCGCTGCTGCTGCTGCTGCTCCTGCTGCTGCTCCTGTCGCTGCTGCTGCTCCTGCTGCTGCTGTTGTCGCTGCCTTTGCTGGTCATCATTGTTGTGGAAAGTATTGTATTGATATTAATGAGTTATTATGATAAGCAATAGTATTACAAGTTTGTAAATGTCTAGAAAGGGTATTAACTCTTCTTCCTCCTCATCATCTAAGCATTGGTTGAATGCGAATGATTTAGCTGGATTTGTTAATTATACACCACAACAACATCAACAACAACGAGGACATACTTACTATAATAGTGGTAGTGGTTATTATTATTACCAACAACAACAAGAAGAAGAACATCATCATCATCAACAAGCGTATCATTATTATTATCAAGAATCATCAGAAGGGCGATATTATAGACATAGGATGGTTGGTAAATTCTCTCATACATACAGGTTATTAGTTAAATACAACAACAACAACAACAAGAATGATTATGATTATGATGGTGGTGGTGGTGGTTTGATAACAACAATACAGGATGATAATAATAATATAAAGAATAAATTAATAGGTAGTACTAATTAACTACTCTATGTTGTTATTATTATTATTCTACTACAGTAACTGTAGTAGATACTGATTATCTAATACCATGGAAATATGTTGTTGGTGTTGATATAACAGTATGGTATGATGATACCACACCATCCTCAACAACATCATCATCATCATTACCAATATGTCCGATATGCCTCTGTATTGCTGAAGTACCTCGGATACCAGAATGTGGTCATGTTATGTGTTTATCATGTGCATTACGATATCTACAGCAATATAGTAATAACAACATCATAATCATCCTCATTAACATGATAATTATTATTGTTATCATATCAGGTCAATGTTGTGTATGTAATGTTGGTATAACATTAAAAGAGCTTAAACCAGTAAGGATTGAGATACTTAATAATACTACAAAACCTAAGAATGGCGATGTAATACTAGTATAATAATAATAATATAGTGAGGGATGTTGTTGTTACTTTTATTGATAATTATTAGATTATTACACTCAATTTATGTGAAGTGGTTGATGGTATATGCCGACCATTTGATGCTAATACATT